ATCTTTGTTGTCATTCATCACACTAGCGTGCTTTCTTCATCAGGTATCTTTGAAAAGAAAAGAGGCATGCACCCACAGGGCATCCTGTGTAGGCTTTGTTTTTCATTATCTGAAGGAGTCATACATCATCTACATTCGTACTTTACACACTCCCACTTAAGTCACAAAAAAGCACTTTGGGCTTTGCTCTTTTCTCTAATTTGTGCCTCGTCGTCTCCTCCAGCCTGAAATTAGTCTCTCTAAATTTAAAAGAACAAATTACAAGTCCAGAGTTATTCCTAAATTGTTCTTTATAACTGCTTCACATCTCCTCCTTAATTATTAAAGATCGTTAATTATTATAATATCTGATTTTATTTTACTTCTCTTCCACTTTTTAATTTTCTCTGTCTCTTGCTTTTAAGCCCCGTCTGATGCCATTTCACCTTTATCCTTGTAAACATTTTATTTCTGTTTATTAGATTATAATTCTGTGATTGACTTCATACAAAGTGGTGTAGAATTAAGTGGGAGGGGTGTGTGTGTGTAGGTTATGTTGCTTTGCTGATGCTGATCAGAGACAGTCTGGTGCAAATATCTGAGACAGGGTGGGATTGTTAATGCAGAGACTATAGGAGGTTCACATCTATGACCTTAGGAGCTGTGATCTGACATGGCAAACACCCAGTGAGTTTAAAATATTGCTCTTTATTTCACAGAAATCCTGCATCATAGTGACACAGTTATCAGTCAGTCCTGGTTCTGTTCTCTGGCTCGCTTCATGTTATCGTTCGCTCGGCTTTTTGTCCTCTGAAATTTGACGCAGACGCAGCAGCGTCCGATCTTCTAACAGGATGTTTTGCCACTTGTCTGGGCTCATCATTTAAAGCAATCAAAGAGTCGCCCCGGATCAGAGGCGAGACAGCCCTGTGAATGTTTGATGAGGTCGGATAGAAGCACAACAGCTCCTCTTGGAGACGACGGAGTGATTGTTCAGTCATACACTTTTCATTAGCCCGTCTCAGCCTGTTAACGCTCCGGTTATGACCCGACACAGGCGGAGGGGAGGAAAAGAGGAAATGCCTCGTTTTCCTGTTCCCTGAGTGAAATAAGATGGCCCGTTTCAGCGGCAGCATGCCAGAAGTCTCCTTCCATTAGAGCCAATCACAATCATCCTGCCTGTCAATTCCCACATGCTTCATTTCTCTCCCTCCAGGACTCGATCTTCGATCAGCACAGGTTGTGTCTCTGGCCACAGGGACGAAGTGCTTGGACTTGGGTGGTGTGAGCGACTGTGGCTGTACGCTCACCGACTGCCACGCTGAAGTCGTGAGTCGACGGGCGCTGGTTCGATTCCTGTACAGTCAGCTGGAGCTGCTCCTCTGGTATGATTAGCAGTCTCTGATTTTCTTTGTGGCCTTAAAGTGGTTGGTCAAATATCAGCGTTGGAGGGTTGGCTGAGTTAAATATGGCATTATAAATAAATCTCATCGTTCACAGATCTGAAGTGGAAATGACACCTATTCTGAAAACTTTGGATAGATTTTCTTATTAAGTATTTTTTATTCATTTTCCAATAAAATGTTCATGTTTTTGATAGATGAGGCTTAACATTGTGTCCAGTTTTATGTGGATTTTGTCTTTTTGCACAGTTTTCTAAGACCTGGATTAAACCTAGTGCTGAACTAAGGCTTTAGTTTATAGGACGAGGGTTAAACTGTCTCTGCCCACATCTGTGTCTTCGATGTGGGCTTGAGGTCAAAATACACAGGCCCTCTGATTACTGGTCATTTTTAAAAATGTATTTTGTTCAGTTTTGGGTGATATTTGCTATTAAACCTAGTTTAGCCTCTTTTTGTGTTACATTCGTGTTCATTTGCATTAGAAATGTTAAAAAATATTACTTTGTGTAAGTTTCTAGCTGTATTTTGCCATTAGAAATGTACATTTTTAAGTTTTTTCATTATTTATGTGTGCTGCTGTGTTATTTCACAAAAGAAAGATGAAATTGTTTTCGTCCTTTTTGCTCCTTGTTGTAAAATAGTGTTTTTGTTTTGTTGTTTTTCCTGTCTGATCGTTTCCTCTCTGAAGCAAGCCAGTGGACAGCGAGGATCAGTCGATCTTTACACCAAATAAAAGCTGCGGTGATGGCTTCCGGCTGCGGGAGGGCGTCCACTTCCACATGTACGTCAGCTCGTCGCCGTGTGGAGACGCTCGACTCAACTGCCCCTACGAGACCACAGCTGCATGTGAGAGGAACACATTTAGATTGTTTAAGTAAAGCCTCTGCGCATCATTTGCAAAGCTTCTGACCACATCTTCTAAATACTCCCATGTTACACCTCTGCTGATCCAGTTGCACTGGCTCCCCATAAAATTCAGAATCCACTTCAAGATTTTGACTTTGAGATTCAGGGCTCTGCATAGACAAGCACCAACCTATGTCAGAGATCTTTTACATCAGTACATCCCCAGCAGGTCCCTGAGGTCATGTGATCAGGGCTTCCTGGTCGTCCAACATACAAGGCTGAACTCAAAAGGCGATAGAGCGTTTGTAGCTGTGGCCCCCAGACTCTGGAACTCCCTTCCTTTAAGCCTGAGATCTGTGGACTCATTGGTTTCATTTAAAAAACAGCTAAAAACCATCTTTTTAAACTTGCTTTTGGTTGATTTCTGTTTTTCTGTTTTAGTTTTTCTGTGAAGCACTTTGTGATTTCTGTCTTGAAAGGTGCTATACAAATAAAATTGTACTTACTTAAGATTTTTATTATCGTTTTGATCCTACAGGAGCCCATTAAAGGTCCATTAAATCAATTTAAAAAGTGGAAAAACATGTGAAAATCATCTGGATGCTGATTCTGTTGCGTTATCAGATCTAAAGCATCCAGATCCGGGCTTCAGGAGACAGGAATGATGAACAAAAACTAGAAGAAAACTAAAAACACTTCAAAAGTCTCAAGCATAAAAGATCAAGGCTGAAAAACAACAGCACAGGGAAAATACAGGGAGTGGATAATTAGGAATAAATGCCATATGAAACAGAACTGCAGGCTGAAATGACAGCTGAACGAGCCCAGGTACACAAACAGATCGTGTTAACAGGTGGGAACAAACGGCAAAGATCAAACGAGAAAGGTGGAAGCAGTGCGAGCAGGGCGCACAATCAAACAGGGAAACAGGATGTTATGGTCCTAATCAGCTTACCCAGCATTTCCAAGTTTTGTTTTTCTAATTTCCTTTGAGATGCTTGATTTACTTCGCACTTATATTGCTGAGTATTTTGTCCTATTTAGCATACTTAGTTCTGATCCTGATTGCTAGTTGCTTTTCTTTTGTGCCAAGTCTCTTACGTTAAATTCTTGTGTCAGTGCTTTCCCGGTTTAGTTTTGCTTCCTGTGTCTCATCTTCTCTGATTCAGTTCAGCTGTGTGTTGTTTTCCCAGCTCTCTCCACTCTACTGTCCCTGTCTCCCCTTGTCCTTTCTCAGTTCTCCCTGCCCTGGTCTTTCCCTGCCCCCATGGTTTAGCACTAGTGTGTTTTCCAGGTTTTTCTTTTCCTATTTTGTTCTTAATGTTCCACCTTTGTGCAACCAGCCTCCAGCCCACAATAAACAGCTCGCCCTCCTTTAATCCTCCCTGCCTTTGTGTCCTGCATGTGGGACAAGCTCATGACACAGGAAGTAAAAACTGCGTGATGTGAAACTAACGATTGTAAATGTTTTTCTTTAGCAGAGATGATGCTTCTGTAAAATACTTTCTTCTTGTGTCAGATCCCAGCAGGAGATTTCGCTGCCACCTCAGGGTGAAGGTAAAGGGAGGTGAGGGGACGCTGCCCATCACGGCACGGAGAGCCAATCAGAAATGGGATGGCTTATCGCCGAGTAAACCTCTCGTTACCATGTCATGTACAGACAAACTGGCAAAGTGAGTTATATTAAAGGCTCAGTGTAGTTTATTCATTATGTTTCTTTACTGCTGTGCTTTCACTTGTGTCACCAACACAGTGGTGTGGTTACCTCTGCAGGTGGAGCGTCGTGGGCCTCCAAGGGGCTCTCCTGTCTCACCTGGTGGAGCCGGTTTACCTCCAGAGCCTAACAGTGGGCACGCTCAGCCACACGGGTCACCTGGGTAGAGCTATGGCACGCCGCCTCGCGCCCATCAAACACCTCCCCTTCCCCTACAGACGACAGCAGCTGCTGCTCGGCTGTAAGTTTAAATGATGATGATGATGAATGAGCCAGAAACCACAGCTCAGGTCTTGTGACACTTAGGGGAGGTCCTGAAGCTGTGCAGAAGTGGGTTCTTAATAGCACTAAATATGCTACGAAAAGTACAAAAGCAAAAGCCGAGTAGTTACCGTGAGCAATAAGAGGCACTAAAATCTGAAATGCCATCACCAATCAAAGGTTGTCATATTAAGAAAAACACAGGTTAACAGGGTCTTGTGATGCTCATTCACTCTTCAGTATTTTCATTTTTTGACTCTAGGGTAGCTTGGCATGATTCACAGGTCAAAATAATCCTTATTTGTCTGGGCTTCAGTCCAGTCGGATGTTTAATGGGAACCACAGGTTCATGTCTGAGATGATCATATTGGGGATTTCACCTCTGCTGACATCATAATATTTGAAATATGAATTTGAAATCTTTAGGGAAATTGTGCTTGGTTTAAACTGAACGTGTAGCATCCATCCATTTACTTCCACTTATCCAAAATTTGAACGTATGGAGTAAATTTCATTTGACCAGATGCCATTAAATGTAACATTTTATATTGTGCTCATGTAACAAACAAGTCTTGGCCTGATGTTTTAGAGATGTCTGAAGCCTGTTGTCAGAAATGTAAGAACCAGCCTGTCTACTCAACAATCAAGAGGAACACAGCCTGAAATGATCCTGAAATAAACTCTGAGCACCTCAATCAGAGGGAGCAGATTAAAATTAAATATGCAAATCAAGAGATTTGCAATTCCAGCAACAAAAGAAAATCCATTTGAGCAGAAGCTTTGTTTGTATGATATGCATAATCATATTGGAAGCGAGATTATTAGGTCCAGGTTGGACAGTGGGTGCATCAAATTTACAAAAAATCTGTGTTTTCAGGAGGAAACTTCTACAAGTATGTGTTTCCATGTTTGCCACGCAGGTTTGAGCAGCAGGGACGCCCGGCCAGCAGGGAAGCCTCCCAACGTCAGCGTGAACTGGAGCTGCGGTGATGGAGGCTGGGAGGAAATCAGCACCTCCACAGGGAGGAGGAAGGACTCAGGGACGCCATCGCGGCTCTGCAGGCGCTCG